GCCAGGATATGTGAGTGCAAAGCGCTGCTGAATTGTGAAGTACATGGGGTGATCCTGGACCACTAGTTAACCCATCAGACTAACCAATACCACAGGCTGCTGTGAGGTAACGAGGCAGAGAATTTTGTATGGCGCTTTAAGCTCCTTGAAGAAAAAATAGAATAAAAATGTCAATACACAAATATTTCAGAAAACAGGTTTTGTTCTCTTATTTATTTGGCAGATTTATATTCCACATAACCTTTAATATTCAGGAACTGTCTCTAAGTGGTTTAAGAATTTAAAATACAAATGATAGATATCAGTTTTTTTTAAAAAAAATCAAGAAAATTAAAATAGTAAAACTCACTTCTTTCAAGCTATGTCTCAGTTTTCAGTTTGAACATGTTTTAAAGCTGGGGGGGAAAGAAGAGTGATTGAATTTGGTTAGCACCCAATGCTATTAAAGAAAGGGCCAGATAAACCTCTTCAAGAGGGCCATTCATTCCATTGGGGGGGTGCCACCGTTCTCTCTTTCTCTCATTTTCCACTCAATCCAAGAGGATGGGGCACTCTAAAAGAGGGGTTCTGGGGACCATGTCACATGATAGGCATAGAGTATGTGTGTATGGCCTGAATCATAATGGTAGTCCCACCTTTTACAGTACTCTTGTTGAACCTTGAGCCAAGGCTTAAGTAAATTCCATTGGATCAGTGGCTGCGTTCTGGTTGGGAATTGAATGATGCCTTTCTAGAACAGACAACCACACACTCAGAAAGGAGAGATGTAGTGCTGATGGGTGACTTCAACTATCCTGGTATTTGCTGGAAGTCAAACTCAACCAAAACTTTAAGGTCTAGCAAATTTCTCACTTGCTTCAAAGACAATTTCATTGGCCAAAAGGTGGAAGAGGCAACAAGGGATCCGCTATTTTGGATCTGATCCTAACCAACAAAGATGGCCTGGTTAATGGTGTGCAAGTGGTGGGATCCTTAGGTGGGAGTGATCATATTCTCCTGGAGTTTCTTATACAGTGGAAAGGAGAAGCCAGGCATAGTCAGACATGCATTCTAGACTTAAGGAAAGCTGATTTCAATAAACTTAGGGAAATACTAGGGGTGATCCCAGGGTCAGGAATACTAAAAGTGAAGTTCAGGATGGATGGCAGTTTCTCAAAAGGGAGGTACTGAAGGCACAATTTCAAATTGTTCATTGTGGAGGAAAAATGGGAGGTGTTTCAAGAAACCAGGATGAATGACTAAAGATCATTCAACTGAGCTAGGTTTTAAATGGAATATGTATAAGAAATGGAAAAAGGGGGAAAACACCAAAGAGGAATTCAAACAAATAGCTAGCACATGTAGGGGTAAAGTCAGGAAAGCCAAAGCATAAAATGAGCTCAGGCTTGCTAGAAGGGTTAAGGACAATAAAAAGGGCTTTTTTGGGTATAGTCATAGCAAAAGAAGAAGGAAATGGTAGGGCTACCTCGCAGAGAAGATGGAGAAATTTTAACAGGGGACAGAGAAAAGGCAGAACTACTCAACACCTTCTTTGCCTCAGTCTTCTCACAAAAGGAAAAGGTGCTCAACCTGAGGAAAATGGAGCAGAGGACACAGCACAGAATAAGAGGTAGTACAGGAATACCTGGTTAGCCTAAATGAATTTAAGTCTCTGGGACCAGATGAACTACATCTAACTGTATTAAAAGAACTGGCAAATGTAATCTCACTGACAATAATCTTTGAGAATTCCTGGAGAACAAGAGACGTCCCAGCAGACTGGAGGAGGCCAAACATTGTCCCCATCTTCAAAAAGGGGGAAAAAGAGGATTCTAATAACTATCACCCAGTTAGTCTGACATCAATATCAGGAAAGATTCTAGAGATTATAATGAAACAGAGAGTCTGTGAATTTTTAAAAGAGGATGCCATAATCACAAAAAGTCAACATGGGTTTCTCAAAAACAAGTCTTGCCAGACAAATCTGATCTCTTTTTATATATATATATATATATATATACAATTACCAACTTGGTAGATGAAGAGAATGCCTTGATTTCAGTAAGGCTTTTGACAAAGTCCCGCACAATATTCTTGCAAACAAGATAGTAAAATGTGGGCTAGAACAATGAATGCAGGCTACAGGAAAAGAGATTCCACCTCAACATTAGGAGAAACTTCCTGACAGTGAGAGCTGTTCGACAATGGAATACACTCCCTCCGAGTGTGGTGGAGTCTCCTTCTTTAGAGGTCTTTAAACAGAGGCTGGATGGCCATCTGTTGGGGATACTTTGATTGTGAATTTGTGCATGGCGGGGGGGGGTTGTACTGGATGCCCTTGTGGTCTCTTCCAACTCTATGAGTCTATGATATGTGAAGTAGTATATCTTCATATACTCTAAGCGAGGATAGAGACAGAGTCTCTTCTGACTCTGTGATTCTATGATTCTTTGATTCTGCTATAATTTAAATAAATATAGAACACATCTTACCATGCTGCATATTTCTTTGACTAATTTTAGCTGCACACTTGGTTGTCAAGATACTGTTTATGGGCCACATCAGTAATAATAATAATAATAATAATAATAATAATAATAATAATAATAATTTATTTATATCCCACCCCTCTGTCGAACAATCAGGATGGCTTACAACCATTAAAATTCCATACTTATCTCAAAATACACTCTAAAATCCCCAAACCCACTCACCCCTTAAAAAAGTATTGAACCAGATATACATTAAAACAACATAAGTAAGACATCAAAATTAAAATAAACAAACTGAAACAAATGGTAAACAAACAAGGGCAGCGACAATAGGAGAGGTAAAATAACTAGGCTCCTGAGGCCGGGAATTCTAGTCAGGAAAGGCCTGCCAAAAGAGATCCGTCTTCATAGCTTTTTTGAAGCTGCTTAAACTTGTAATCTGATGGATCTCATCCGGCAGGCCGTTCCATAGTCTGGGAACTATTACCGAAAAGGCCCTCTGGGAGGTTGCAGACCATTGCCAACCAGAAGCACCATTGCCAACCAGAAGTCCCTAAGCATAGGATTCTTGTATTCTTTTTATTGTACTCCTTGCTTACTGTAATTCTCACTATGTGAGATTGTCCCAGACCTTTCCTCTTTTAGCAGTAATTTTACCAGTAATGTCCTTTATAGACCTTTTACCTTTAACTTCAACATAGGACGTTATCACACGGGGGCAAATCTGCTGGTTAATCCA